TAGGCATACTCAATTTTTTCTTCGTGTTTTAAAGAAAGGTTATCAATAAATGAAAATCGGAGATGCGTTATAGTTGAGGGAATGATACCTATAGGAGGCAAATTCGAGGATTTACGGATGGACTAAGAGGCCCATTGGCAGCTGATGATAGGCCTAGGGAGTAGTACAATGTCCAGGATAAATTTAGAGGCAAAGCTGTGATGTTGCACAGTAAAAATTAAATAAATCTTTTGACACCTCAATTGTAAAATCGTGATGAAGTCACCTTGTGTTTCGTCCTCTGGTAGCATGTTGTGGACGTCTAGTAGGCGGTTTACATCATAACGAATCTTTATCATTTCTTCCTCTACAAACGTCATACGATCTTTCGAAAGAAAAGCGGAATAGATGCTAAGTATCTCATAAAAAAGTATAAAATGCATCATAACCACATATCGGCATGCATCACTGTAACATGAATTAGTATACAATTCATATATTATGCGCCGAATGCTTTTGGAAATATAAAATTGTTAATGTTATATGCCAGGATGAATCAAGGCCAGATTATCATAGGGGCTATAGGAGCACTAGCCCCAGGCCCACAGGCCCCAATGGGGGAAAATAGATCCCCGAACCCCAGGAAAAATCAATGAAAATCTGGTTTTATGTTTTAGCCACAGAGTATAATTTAGGCCCACTTGCAATTACAGCCAAGCCACAGAGCCCTTTCCGGCCCTGGCCTGGAAACTCCTACCCGCGACTTCTGTTTATATGCAGACGCATTAACCATCTAGTGTGTCACTGTGGTTTTGTTAGGAATCTTATATTATTGTATTTATTTATTATTATTATTTATTACCAGTGATGTACCATATATAATATTATTGGTCAGTGGACTCATTAAATTTTTTTTTGCAACTCTTGTTCCCATTTAATTACAATTTCCCATCACCGTGTTTTCTTTTCTTTTTTTTTTTTTGTCGAATTGTTCATATTCAAATCATTCCTGTGATTCATAACATGTGGGTGTTTTTGGAATATAATGTGTATTGTAACCTTTACACTGGAAGATAGGGTTGTCTTTTTGTGTTTTGTCTGTTGTTTGTTTGTGTGAACGTTGTAAGTTTATGCGAAACGTTGTATGTTTGTGTGCGCCAATGTTAATTTGTATGAGTACTACGCTATATTTCTCTGAGTACATTGTACATTTCAAATTGCATTTTTGCGGGGGATTGCCTTCCATAAATGTACACTGAATGAATCACAAATATTACAAACTTGTAAAACTCACATTGCAAAATAAACCAACATTGGAAACTTACCCGGGACAATATCCTCGAATGCTTCTGACATTGCTACGAACGGCGTGTCCAACACCAACGCATAAATAACAAAATATGTAAAAATCATATTACACTTACTGAGGAGAAACAACCACAAACGTGCGCTATTGCTAACAGAAATCTTGAAACACCAAAGGAGTTTTTATAGGCCAACGCAAGGAAATTATTGTCAGGGGTAATCAGGCCTATCCATAATCGAGCAACATTTAATAGTTTATCGGATGTTTTTATTTTCTTATCGTCTCATCTTAAACCAACTTTGGCAGGATGGGTTAACAACCCCGAAGCAATATTGAATATATTAACTCGGGATTACTTCACATTAATTTCACACTATTGATAGGTACCACCTCCACGTTGTGCATTCGATCATCGCTCTTAAGTCTTCGTAGGCCTCACCGATAAAAACAATTGCAACCAAGGAATGAACTACTATTGTTTCCTGTTAAAGTTTTCTTATTGGTTCCGTCCTTAAAATTAGTTAAGAGTCACCTACAATTTTGCCTCATAGTGGCCGTTAAAATTCAAAATGGCTGCCGATTCCCTCGGGGAACAGGTCCGTGGACGGGTGCAAGGATCCGGACACACACACAACCTCCGGTTATTTCACTAATATCGTTCCTAATTATTGCAAAATGCTGTAGTAGTATGAATTGCATTTCATTTGCCAGCTTTTCTAAATGTTATTGATCACGGACGTAGCCAGGATTTTCAAGGGGGAGCCGGCCGGACACACACACAACCTCCGGTTATTTCACTAATATCGTTCCTAATTATTGCAAAATGCTGTAGTAGTATGAATTGCATTTCATTTGCCAGCTTTTCTAAATGTTGTTGATCACGGACGTAGCCAGGATTTTCAAGGGGGAGCCGTCTTGCGACCGAGCAGGGGTGAGCTCGGGCGGGGGTGAGCTCAGGACGAACAGTTTGAAAATGACCACGCCCTTAATTAAATGACCACGCCCCTTTTTATAGGGTAGGGGTATTTTGAAATTGAGCTAGAATTTTGCTATTTTCTTATACCGTCTAGCTTAATTTCAAAATACCCCACCCTATAAAAAGGGGCGTGGTCATTTAATAAAGGGCGTGGTCATTTTCAGGCTGTTCGTCCCGGATAGAGATTTTGGCACACATCCTATGTTATTCCTAGGGTTCATATTAGTCTATAACAGTTGAGAAATTCTCTCCGAAATGAAGTGCATACAAATCTTAGTCAGGTCCTAGACTATGGGTTATTGTGGATTTCTCAGAGCATAAAGAAAATAGAACCCTCAGAGCATGGGTCACAAATATGATATAGTAGGAGTCAATTAGAAATTGTACAGTATTTAAATCATCACCATACTCCGTGTTACAGTATTTGTTTTTTGTTTTGTTTTATTTTGTTTTTTTATTTGTAATCGCATAAAAGTGACACAGAGTTGACTATCACAATCTTATAGCGAAGGTCAGCAAATATGACAAACCATGTTCTATTGGTATTTATAATTTGTGTAAACAATTGACGCTTAGGCATATGTGTTATACGGTAATTATTTTAGTATGTAAGTATATTTTTTGAGTGATCTCAGGTAAGAATTCGTATTGGCTTTCTGAGATTGGGACGGAGCCCTCTTAGGTCATGGTCGCCAATTTGATTGTGGGAGTTTAGTTGTGCTCATTATTAAATTCTAAATGTTTTAACGACGAAATAAAAGATGATAACAGTTGTGGATCCAAGAATTTGAAATAGAGGGGGCTCATCACCGAGGGACTTTCACAGATAGTGTCTTTACCTGAGGTTTGAAAAATTTATGATTATGGCACCTCTACAGCAGGTGGTTGGAAATGGCACTCACAGACTTACAAATTTAAATATAACTTTCTTTTCTTCTTAATTTATTTCCATCTTTTTTAAAATTTTGACAATTTAATTTAGGGGGCCCAGGCTGGCTGGGCCACCCATTTCAATCCATCACTGGATGTAATAATAATATGTCCTACAAGCGATGTCAGAGACACATGGTCTTATTTTATGTATCAACAAAGCTCTTTTCCGTCAGGGTGCTAGAGAACCCGGGTAGGTGGGTGGGGGTGGGGCCCTGTCGCACGAAAGCGCTTAGGCATAGGCATTACACCACTGTTCGTGTTTTTAAAATGTTGTGGTCTTATAAATTTCTTTTAAAATCTATAGACAAAGGCCTATAATTTCAATGCCACCTTAAGATAGTTTTGTATATCTTTAATTCTTTTTTTTTTTATAAATAATAATAGCCTGTCACAGAAGGAAAAATTAACATTGTCAGTTTTATAAATTTTTCACATTTGCATTCAGGGGTGGCACCAGTGGAAGGGAGTCAGGGTCCACGTCGGGTAGAAATACCACAATCCGTCGAGGAGAAAAAAAATATAGGCCTATGTATTTTTTACATATGAGACTCTAAAATCGATTAAATAAGTCTCTGGAACCCTATATTGACATGTAGTTTTCGAGGCCTTCGCCCACTGGCCCTTCCAAAAGATTTTTAGCAAAGCCCGATCTCGCCCACTTCGCTCTCGTCGGGGACATCGTATTTTTTATCGTATAGGCTTTTTACTGGCCATATGCTCTAATTTATATCTACTAATTTTTATTGTATTGACACAGATACTAACGTGAGGTTTGACCTATGGTAGATTATTTTTAACCGAACGTGTACATGTTTGTATGTATCATTCACATAGGCCTATAATTATTTGATCACTTCACAGCATTTATAAATGGAGTTATTATCATTATGATATCATTAAGTTATTTTATAAATTAGTTTTTTTAACTATAGTTATATAATAGTAACTCTTTAATTAATTTACTCTACCTATAGGCCTACATGTAGGCCTATTTAGGCATATTTATTAGGCCTAGGCCTATTTATTGTTGGCAATCAGCTAACATGGTACTGACCTTTGTTAAATAAATAATCAAGATAAAAATTTTGGCCTACGGCCTATGGTAGTTTCATCCTTAGAAATGGGGAAGTTTTGGTGCAAACGCGATTTCAGTCGATCTGTGGGAGAGCCTTATGAGTCTTATGCCGAAGCTCTAAAATTGTCTAAAAATCGATCCCAGTAAAAAAGCCTTTAAGTGCCTAATCTTCTGGGCGATCGCCCTGGCCCGGGCCACTTCCAGTAGTTCTGGGCTGTCCCTGACCACACCCTCTTACGCTCTCGCCGCGGGGACACCCCCTCCCAGACGGGAACATCGTACCGCCACCCCTGTCAAATCCTGACACTTCACACCAGTCCTCTGATCCAATGTAATGTGTCTTCGATGCGGGGTGTCTATAAAACGAAGACCGAAGACCCAAAAACGAAGACCCCTATTTTTCTCTTTCATTTTGATGGTCTTCGTTTTTTGGGTCTTTGGTCTTCGTTTTTGGGTCTTGGTCTTCGTTTTATAGAATGACACCCCTTCGATGTTTTCACGATTGAATTGTATTCTATAATGGGTCCCACCTAATTAAAGAAAAGACAATTTTCTATTGTCAGTAGGCCTACAGTATGTCAATTACCGATATCCAGTATTTTCAAATTAGGCCTAAAGAACCACACCCAAACACACCCCTCGTTAACGTTAAATAATACCAACTGGACAATGTTTCTTTGTATGTGGATGAAGACGCGTCACTTGTAATGTACACGCTTCAATTCACCCAAGGTCGTCAGCGCTACTCCTCAATCACTCTCGTCTCGCACTCTGAACTCTTTCCATCGCACACCACGCTATCATACCACTGGAACTGCAGCTCCGAACGTAAGTTTTGACTGAAAAAAAGCAGCGGTTGGTACATTTCCTAAAAGGCAAAGGTAAGAATACATTATTCATTGCTTAGAGCCTGGACTTAAGTATTGTTTATAGAAGAAGCATGTCATGATATCTGTGTCGGCTATGCAATTTTCGTAATGTTTTGGAAGTTTTTAATTAGGACATCCTAAAGTCTTCCTATTCTCCACAATCGGATTGGATGATGATGCTACACGCCCTTCTTTCCGTCTGGTGTTTCTACAGCCGCGGCGTGGGATGTCCAACTTATAATAAACAACATTGCTTGGACCCTGGCCATGAATCTTAGTTAGTTTAAATTATTTTTATGACACGACACGCGTGTTTCCTATAAATTTTAGGAAGTCTATTTGTTGTGGATTTTTGTTTCAATGTGTGATATTTATTTAATTTAAATAACAATGCAGCAAACATTACAACCGTACGTCGTTTACTGTTGTTAGCTGTGTTGTGTCTGTATTTTGTAGGCCTGATTAGGCCAGGGCCTGGTGGGCAATGTAGAGTTGCTGGCATCATTCAAACGCCATTGCTGGTTTAATGATAAAACTTCTGGGTGTTGCTGAATTTTGATGACTGCTAAATATTTGAAATAATAAAATTATGTTAAATGTTTTGAATGAATGATATTTTGGGATACACTTCACAAATGGACAATCAACACTGAAACTTTTTACAAATTTGAGCATTTAATTTTCATTGCGAACAAACACATTCAATTAATATTGTGTTTTTTGATGTTTTAAACAGATAAATATTCAAAAGGAAATTTACATTAGCCAGATGCAGCATGTGAACATATTTTTTTCTGCCATTTGCTTTTGTACCAGGCGATCGCCATAAACTATTACATTTTTATTTTTAAAAAATCTAATTTTTATCAGCTATAATACACTTTTAGGATAAAAATGTTTCTGTCCAAAATTAAATATACTCTTAACATTACTTTCTCTATAAAAACCATGCAATTGAAACACAGGCTTATGGTGCAGCCTTCAAATTCTATTTGTAGATCCATAATACTGTATCATCATCGTTAATATCAAAATTAAGATCATCGACAACAGTTTCATTTCATCATCAAACAATTCATCAGTATAGAGTAAGTACCACAGTCGTGTCGTCATGATGCCAGGTGACGCTCTCTGTTGTCAACAGACTTTGGTTACCGTTCATTACGCCTGAATAAATTCATAAGCTTTCTGGAATAGGCATTTTAAAGTTGAATATTTTACCATCAAAATGTACTGAAACCACAAAAGCTCACATTATATTAGTTATTGAACACACACTTAATCATCAATTAAAATTTACAAAGAAAAGTAAAGATACAACATCTTAATAATTACGTTAGAAATTGGGATCAATGGTTTGTCAGTGAAGAAAATAGCGTCCGGTTGAACACTTTTTGCAACAATAGCAACGGAGTAGTATCACATGGTATCGTGACGTAACACTGTAATACTCTATTATATTTATACCCGATTCACACGTGAAGTTAAATTTAACAAAAAGTAACAAATTGTAACCGAGCAATCTCCCGAGTTATTCCTACTGAGATAAAAAGCATTCACACGCGTCTGTAAGGTAATGCCAAGGTTGTGTAAAATTTATTCAGTGTTTATTCAATGAACCATTTTTTCCCCTACTGTGATATAGGTCTAGCCTAGGCCTAGTTGAGAACCCATGTCACAGATAGACTGTTGAACTCACCATCAGTCACAGTAAACATTTGAAGCAATCAATACCCTTAACAACTGGTGTACTACTACTACTACTAAACTAGGCATAGCTTCCAACGTTTCTGTCAACTCTTGTAATAGTACTAACACCATCCCGACGTTCATTTTATGTATATCTTCTTCTTCTACCATTACTAATTAACATCAATAACAAGGGTAATTCATTCATCATTGAGAAAAACTAGGCCTATCTATTTCTAGTGGATCAGAATCGTATGCAGAAGGGAAGAAAATTCAAAGAACCCCATGAAACAGTAGATTGTTGTTGTGTTGAAATCCCTGCGCATGCGCAGATCCATCCATGTTACATCTCGGAAGCTTTACCAGCCTCAGCGAGGCTGGTAAAGATTACTGAGGCGTTCCGAGATTTTACAAGGATATTACACGGAGGTACTTTCACACGTGCCGTAAAACGTTACTTTTGGTTACATTTTGTTACATTTGGTAAGATTTTTGTACGTGTGAATCGGGTATAAGTTTACATCCATTGTGCTTGTTTTATTATCAATTAAAACAGTTCTTCAATTTCCTCATTGCTATCAGTATCATTAACTGTCTCATCAAAAACTTCATTATAAATATCAATTGCTCTGTTTTTCAATTTTATATTATCATTTTTCGTAAAATTAACATTAAATTAAAACACTGACAATTCAGGATTATGTAAAATGTTATGACAGTGTTTTAGATTGCTCCCAATAATGTCACATTTTTTGTTTTTAGGTTAAAAATTCTAATTAGTAATGTCTGCTATTGAAAGCCTGAGACAACAATGCTTGAAGAGGGGAGCCCATGGTATCAAAGGACTTGGAAGGTAAATATGTTTCTTTTTTCAATTTTATGACTTTTGTATTACTGAAAGTTTTATAATAATTTATATTTTCTATAATTATTATAACATAATTTTTAACATTATTATCTTTTAATGAATTTGTGAATATAATTGATTTCCATTTTATTTTTGTTTTGTATTTTAACTTATCTGTATTGTACTTTTTAAATGATAGTAATTATTATTAATTATTGTGTATTATTAATTCTTACCTATAAATTTTATTAATGTCTATACGGGAGTTGTTTATATGGGTTCCTTTGCTTGATTTGAGGATTATTATTTATTCAGATGAAAGATACAATACAAAGCAATAATAATAACATGCAAGACTTACCGTATATAGCGCTTAATGACAAGGCTTCACATTATCTGTAATACATTTAAAGAATCTATTAGACACTAGCTGCCTTGAAGACACAAAAGCAGCCTAAACACTGTCGCAAAATATTATTCAATATTGTGTGTCTGCTCTCCCACAGGGGTTAATAAAGTTTGATTAGATAGATACGTTTCTTTAAAATGATGAACATGAGCATGTACTGTCGGAAAAATCAATAATATACAATAAAAAAAATAATAATAATAAATAATAATATACAAAAACAATATATATACAATAAAAGAGAAATATTAATACAGTGTACTTTACAATAAACCTAGTTTTATTTGGTGTAAACAGCAAGGATAACTCACAAAAGTCTGAAGAAGACTTATTGCCAGTGGTGTCCTTCTGGTGGTGATTGGGCAGTATACCGGGAGACATTCCCCTACTCTTTTCCGAAGAGTGTACTGCGTTCTTTAACATGCACATGCGCCATAATGTACGTAGGACCAACGGCTTAAACGTCTTATCCAAAAGATGGTGGACTATCTCCTAACTTGCATTTCAGCCCTCCAACTAAAATACCAAGGAGAGCAGTGATGGGATTTGAACTGGGGACCAGGAGACCTCAATGGTTCAGCGCACACACAGTGGCTACCCCCAGTTTCTTTACTGTCTTTAAACTGAAGGATGATTTCACTGCTTGCTGAAGTATTGACTTAAAAAATGGTTCAGTATGAAACCACTGTATACAATTTACAGAGAAAGAAGCATGTATTCTCTCAATAGAAAATATTTTCTGAATGCTCAATGATAATTTCAGTGCTGAAGCATCAATTTCCAAAGTTGTTCAGTTTGTTGTTATAACAGCAACAGCGTACTGTAAAACACAATGGAACTTACTATTTAAATTTATAACATTATTTTTACTGGATGAGTGAAAACATTCACAAATTGGATACAATGGACATTTCAGCTAACCCTTGGAATTGTTACTAGTGTTCCAAAAAACAATAGCGTAAACTACATAATAAACAATTGGCGTTAGTGGGGCAACACGCATGTTTTTAGGACGCATGCATATTCCTGACTGTTCTGATTGGTCAGGTTTTAAGTTTGGTTGACACACCGGAAAGGTCAATTAAGCACTCGTCCAAATATGCACCGCTTACGTAATCTCTGCGCCAATCATGAATTTTGTCGCAAAGTGCTACCGAATGCCACTCTCTGCTATAAGTTAATCTTCGTCTTCACTTTCCTGGGTAAATTTCTATATTCTTGCATTCTGGGCTATATAAGCACACTAATGCAATAAATGCTTAGGAAACAAAAACAATGTTCAATGAAAATGAATAACATTTTTTTAATTTGTCAAAAAGCACTTCGATCAATTACTTTATGGTAAAGCACTCATAAAGATCACCTCTCGTCTGAAATGAGGCTTTTCTGTAGACAAGATGGATTGCGTACCATATTGTTTAAAAATTCAAATGTTATTTAGTGCAGTAACAATGCATCCTGATTGATCTTGCCTTGGAACAATCTCGATAACTCATTCCTCCATGATTGAGCATCGTAATAGGCTTACATTTACATCCCCTATTAAAGTATTTTGGATTAAGGACTAAATTAGTAAGTTAACCTTTAGTAATTGTTCTTGTATCATCAGTACATGTCAGGGCTGAAATCATGATTTTGAAAGTGGGGAGGGAAAGGGCTTTAGTTTATTTATTTTTTTTTTATTTAGCAGATGAATCAAGGGGAACATATGCCCTAGTTCTGGTGCTGACCTACTTTTAAATTATCTTTCATTAAACCTTACACAGTAAACATCACACTATCATTAGTACTGAATTTTAAGGGAGGAAAATTAATGCTCCTAATGGTTTTCTGTTAATAAAAAACATAGATTTTCCCTTTGAGCGCTTGGATAGCTTTTATTGATTCATTGGGTTTCAGTAGTCAGGGTTGGCGAGATCACTTAATCTATCTGAAGTGGTGGACTTGTGCTCAAACCTAATTTGAATATTCAGATTAGCATTAGTAGATCAATGAAAGGAAATAAAATTTCAGCATAACAAAAATGCATTAAACATTACAAATATACAAATATAATTTAAATTTGTCAAAAAGAGGGGCTGCTTAGCACCATTGTAAAATTATCAAATTTTAAAGTAAAATTACTAAATATTATGTTCCAATATAATTTATAATAATGATAAAATAATGATAACAATTTCATAAAATCACATAAAATAATCTTTTGCATGTAAAGTTCTGGTGAATCTTTGGGATTATAGCATTTTATAAATGCCCCTGTCATCATCATCTTAGTCATTATCATTGTTGTCATCATTAATGATAAATATAAAAATAAAAAAGCAAAAAACATAATTAGTATTGATAATATTAACATATGATAATTATATTAGTGTGATCCAGTACTGTGTCTATTAAATTGTCTTCCTCTATGAATTTTACATGCGAAATGGTATAAATAATTAACCTGGACTCTAATTTATTTATGTTATTACTCTTCATCCAAGTCTACAAAATAACAAATACAGTAGTGGAAATAAGCATACCACCATAGATGCATAATATGTAAATGAGGCAATGACTGTTAACAACTACAAATATGTAGATGAGACGACGAATAGTAATAAGCTCATAATGCCATCTATATTTTTCCATAGCCTAGATCAGCGGGAACTCATATCTCATTCCATGCACTTGTACAATAACCTTTCATGTTTTCCCTCTGGATTTGGTGCTCATCCATGCGGAACAGGATTGATGAACGCAGGCTGTGCAACGATTCAGCGACACATGAACCTACAGTAGTGTTTTCAGTTAGATATCATTTTTCAAAATTTGGATTTTCTTTAATTGTTCACTGTAAAATGTGTCGACAGCTTGCGTTTGTAGTAAATCATATGACATTTTTTTTAAATTTTTTTGTTTAATTATTTTGCATAATTTACCAACTTCTTTGAAAATGGTATGATCTTTATGCATTTTCCCAATTTTTAAATACAAAAATTACTTCTGCCCTATAAGCTTTTTTGCTGACCACCCCTGATCTACACTACAAAGACTATATTGACATTATAAGCCTTTATATGTTTAATATTAGCCTGTAATTATAATCTAATGTTTGAGACTCTTTAATGTGTTTGTGTTTGATTACGCATACAGTACTTGGGATAACCACAGCTGCTGTTGAGAGGGTGGAAATTACATATTGAACATTACAATAGAAATTCAGTTAATGTTATTAATATCGGGCGTATCTTCTTAGTATACATGTATAGGATCAATTTTGGCACTTCATTTATTAATTTTTTTCCTGAAAATTGCCTCTTGTTTTTTTAATGACATAAAAGTATAATAAAAATATTATTATACTTCCTGTTTCCTTTTAGTACATAAAGTACAATAATAATAAACAATTAAATTGCTTCTGTAGAATAGTAATTTAACTTAAATCAATTTAAATTAAATCATGTGCTCCCTTCTGGAATAATGTAATTAAGTTTAATGGACATTCAGTATTATTGTTTAATAATGCTTTGACATTCAATTTATATTGAGATGAGCGAGATCAATAACTAGTTACCCAGTTTATTTTATAATAGAAAATGTGATATATTGATTGATATTTGATTATTAAACAAACTTGATAATGGGAAAAGCTTAATTACTATATGAGTAATATTAAAATAATTATTTAATAATAACATCAATGGATCTAAAATGTTTTTCGGAGGAGCGGCTAAAGGATTAAACTATACATTATTAATGGGGAAATATTGATTGCATTGGGCAACTCTAGATGGCCGGAAACTTGATCGCACAGTTCTCTTTCTATTTGAATAGAATTTTCTTTTTTTTCCAAATTTTCTAAATAATTTTAATTTAGGCCCCCCCCCCCTTAATAGTAATAATAATTTAACCTTGATATAGCGCATTATGCTAAAACCTCAATGCACTTAACAATCTTTTTTAGATTAGAATTTTTTTTTTAATTCATCCTGGCCAACAGACGCATGACTGGAAGTTGCTATATAAATTATAAAGCATTTCCATTCTAAAAGTCTGTATAAGCGAAAAGTAAATTTGTATCTGTCTATGTGGTAATACTTATATAGGTTGTCTCATAAATAAAATAGAACAGGAACCAGTCAGGTATGCAGCATTAGCATAATTTATACAATTTGCAGATAATTGTGGAAATGGAAGCTTCCAAATTTTTAACAACTTGCATTGTATTGTATTGTAACAATAGGCCTACTGTTAGTGTGAAGTATACTATTTAAAATTGGCATTTTTTATCGTCTCTAATTGATTCCATTGTAGGATGAATTGGTTTTGTGACTTTTTAATGAATTTGTTGACTTTGGATTTAACCAACAAATACATGTTATCTGTTCCTTCTTATTCCAATTCAGGACTAAAAACACTGTTGAAAGCTCCAGACAGACTAGCTTGAATTATACACATTCCCAGACTGTGTTCAAAATGGTAGATGTGTGCATCAGATTTGTGTTATCTTATCTATATTCACAACCTTTAGCACTGCTTTAAATTGTGTTTTATCCACTACGGTTACCGGTATTCTATTGTTGGTATTGATTAAAATCATCAAATTATTATT